GCGAACCAAGCAATACAAAACGCTGCCCAATGCGCAGGAGGCAAGCATTGATGGGACTCTGCTTCTGCTTCTTCTTTTACTACTACTTCTACTTCTTGTTCGTCTTTGGCTCGGTCGACGACGAGCGGTCATTTGCTTTTGCCTCCTATTCGACACGTTTCTTCAACTCTGCGTTCTCAATTTGCCAAAGCAGCAGAATTTGTGTTTAGTTAAAAATAAAACGCACTGCCTGCACACGCACAGACACACGCACGCAGACGCACGCACTCACACACACACATACACACACACTTGTGTAAGTAAAGTAAATGCGTCTCTGTTGTCCTGTCACCATTGGCACCACTCTCTTCAAACACCCCACACTCTCTCCCTCTCTCCTTTGCTCACGTGCTCACGTTACCAGACTAAGGAGGAAGAGCAAAAGCCAAAACAAGAGCAAGAGTAAAAGCGACGGCTGCTGCTGCTGTTGCTTGCTTGCTTGCGTTTGTTTACAATTTAATCGTGTTGTTGTTGTTGTTTTTTTTTACAATTTACTGCGCACATGTGAGCGAAGTTCGTTCTTCTTCTGTCTGCTGTGTGCGCCATGTGAGAGTAATTGTGTAAGAGAGTGAGAGAGCGAGACACCGCGTGTAACTCTTTGTTTATTCGCATTGTGTAAGAAACAGGGTGTCTCCGTCTCACCACCTCCTCCAACATTTGTGCTTGGCTAATCAAAATGAATTTATTACCTATTGAATGAGCACAGATAATGGCGCTATCTGAACAATGTCATTTCCCCGTCCCCATATTATGTAAATAGATATATAACGCCTTGCTCAGCTGCAATTAAATAACATTTATTTTCCCATTCTAATTGTAGCAACCAAACAACAAATAATGGAATATTAACAAAGTTACGAAAGGTAAGTGAAAAGGCCATTTGTTTTAAAGTAAATGCAATAAGTTATAAGTGTAACTATTGTAATTAAATATTAATTAACAATTTGCTTTTAATTTTTCATTTCCTTTTTATGAAATCGAAGGAAATGTTGCAATTTTTTTCTGATAAGAAAAAAAAACGCAATAAGTTTTGTGCTTGAAATTGAATGCTTTTAAGCCTAAGGCCAAAATGCTTACTAAGTGGCATGCTACCTCAGTTCTAAAATTGTATATTTATTGAAATATTCTCATTTTTTCCTTTGTTTTTTTTTTTTTGTTCATTCGAAAACCTTGAGCTATGGTGAAACACGTGTAGAATTGTACGATTTCAGTCGTGTAATGCTTTACCTCATGGCCTCTCGCTCTCTCTCTGCTTTAGTCTAGCCTATGATATGTGCTCGTCATACATGTGTATGTGTGTGTATGTGTATGTAGGTGTGTGTGTAGTTGACATCAAAGCGAACCCATATCCGTAGGTGCGGCCCTTAAAAGCAATACGGCTCGCTCAGCTGTGAAACGCCAAAAGGCGGCAAAAAGAAGATTGCGCTTACGCCTCCCCCACCACCCCCCCACACACACACACAAACTCATAATAAATGTATACGAGTGCTTATGTGTGTATTGGTTGGGGTACTTTTTGTAATATGGGCACTTGGTAAGGTCGACAACGAGGTCAACAGCGATTTTGAACAGCTCTATTGTCTAATCAAAGTCATCTGCAAGTTAACTACACACACATATATCATTTATAATTTTTTGTGTGTCTGTGTGTGTATGAGTAATTGGACAGCCCGTTTCCAGGCGATGGGATTTAATATGAGTCAAGTAAAACAAAGAGATAGATATACAAGAGTGATTAATAATGTGTGTGTGTGTGATGTAACACGCGATATATAATTTATATAGACACATATGTATATATTTATGTGTATGTACTTGTCTTAATTACGATGCGATGCGTCGCTGCTGCAACACTTCCGCCATATATGACACATTTATTTTCTTGCTTGCTGTGGGTAAAATTAAATATTTATATTATACACATAAGCATGTGCATGTATATATATTTAATTTGGCTTTAATAAAGCCTTTATCGTGACGCATGGGATGGGGGCTGGCGGGTGTCGACCAAATCAAAATGACATGCTTGAAATCTTTCCATATCCGCCGTTGTTGGCGCTCGCTTTGCTTTCCACTGACTGCGCCACTCACTCACCAACTCACCACACAGGGAGACATACACAGACGTCAGCAGCAGCAGCAGCGATCCCGTTGCGCGCCTGCCTTTGGCGCAATTTCATAATCAAATTGGCTGCTAAAAGCAAAAAGGAAGCAGCGCTGCAGCAGAGCAACGAACTAAGCGAAAGGCAACAACGTCAGTGTCGGATCTTTTTTGTTTTTCTCTTTTATTTTTTTATGTTTTTTTTTTTTTGTTACAAACGTTGCAACACACTTTTGTTTGCTTTTCAAATATACAATTTGTGAACTGGTTTTTGTTGTTGAACGAATGCAGCGCCATCTAGCGTTAGCGTTTGCTAACCTAAATATATGCTATGTATATGCACGTGTGTGCGTGTGGTTGTATATATATATTTATCTTTCATAGCTGTTTGCATTGGTTTTCTTCTTTTCCGTAATTTTTGGCTAACACACAAAGGCAAAATGCAATATGAAAATTTAAATAAATGCAAATTTTGCAAATACGCCGCAAGAAATATAATGCAATGATGAATAAACAGAACGCATTCAGCTAAAATAAATATATATTTTTACACACACACGCAAACACACAGATCGGAGACACGAGAAACGATTTTTGCGAAATCAAAACCATGCCAAGGACGGACGACCAAAGCGAAATTAAATTAGTTCACACAATGAAAATAAAAAGTGCAATTGATTATGTTGCGTTTGTGTGCCAAATTGCCACAAAAAATAAATAAAAACGTTAATTCAACATCCATCGTCGAACAGCACACGCGCTCCTCTTCTCTCTCACTCTCGCCCATTCCCGCACTCGGTCAGTTGCCCTTACGTCAAACGACCATGTTTCCATTTCGTTGGGTTCCGCTACGAGTTGCTTGCGTTAGAGCATTTCAACTGCGTCATATCATTTTGCAAGATGAGTGACTTTTTCCTGCTACTCAAAAAATAAAATACACGAATAAAATCTTTACTGTTTTACTGTAAAAGAAAAAGTAAATTATGCATAAATAAATACATAACGAGAAAAAAAACTAAATAAATAAAAGTGAAATAGCGATAATGTAATCAAATATTATTAAAACCCGCTGCTGCTGCTGCTGCGACGTCGACGGCGACTGTTGTTGCGGTTATTGTTGTTTGGTCTGTTCGCTTGCCCTCATTTCGTACGAGTTGTTGTGGTTGTTGTTGCTGTGCTGTGCTGTGTTTATGTGAATGCTTGCTTGTCTATTGTGGGCCAAGTGTAGTTGTGTGTGTGCTAGCGACCATAAACAAAAATGCTCACACATACACACGCACACATACAGACGCAGACACAGACACATGCGCAAGCAATCGAACACGGGCTGAGCAAACATTGCCAACACAAGAATCATATGTTTTCCAACAGCACTCGCGCACACACACACACACACACGCAGAGCACACATCAGCATATTCACCTCTCTTCCTCTCTGCTGCGTATGTACACATACACAAACACACACACACACACGCACACAGATAGGCTTCGTCTCGCGCGCTAGTTATATATTGTGTATGCAGGTCAAGAAGAAACGCAAAAATCAAAAGCAAAAGTAAAGACAAACATGTTCACAACCTGACTGAGAGCGACACAGTCAGAGAGAGAGAGAGAGAGAGAGAGAGATAGAGACAGCGTGCTCATTTGTGCTCTCTGACATTTGTGATGGTTGTAGCAACATGTTGCCAGCGTTGAGCAACACATGCTTAAACAACAGTGAACAGCTGTTTGTTAGCACTTGCATGTTGCTAAGCGCAACTTTAGCAATATATGTATACATATATATTTGTAGCTGCTGCTGACCTTCAAAAACGTTGCAAATTGCAAAAAAACAGCAACAAAAATGCATGTGGCGCGCTAGGCTTAATCTGTCAAATGACGTCACAGCTTTTGCAACATGTGTGTTGCCAAATGCATTGTGCTGTGCCTGCCTCTCCGATTCTCTCTCCCTCTCCCTCTCTCTGTTGTTCTATTCTCTGACTTGGCAACAGCTGCCTGATTAAGTAACGACCTGGTTGCCTGGTTTTATTTTTTGGGCCACATTGAGGCCGTGTTACTGTGTCGCTATATACATATATGTATTCTGAGATTCTGAGATGCCATTATAGCATCGAAAGGATCTGTGTCAAAGTAAATTCAAACAGTTGTTAATATGTTTATGTATTGCATTCTATTTATCATTGGGGGACCTTCACAGCATAATTCAATTTGACATACAGGGTGCCACAGCTGACCTAGTTTGGCAACAGCAGCGGCAGCAGCAGCTGTTGGCATTCAAGCTGCGTTTTTTTTTTTATTTTTGCCAATGCCATTTTTGCGATTAAAGAAACTTTGAAAAGTAGTAGAAAAAGCAACAACAACAAAATACAGTAAAATATTCAAAGAGTTTTTTAATTTGAAGCAATTACAAGCTACGATTAAAATTCAATTCAAATTAAAATTTAAATTTAAATGCATATGAAATTATTTTTAAAATACTAAAAATATATTTAGTAGTAAAAGAAAAGCAACAAAAAAACACGAAGAAATTTTCAAATATTTATTTAAATTGAGGCTATTAAATTTCAAGCAATTACAAGCTGCGATTCAAATGAAATATACAAAAATATTAATATTAAAAAAAAATAAAAATTGTAAATCATATTATGTATAATTAGTATAAAAAGTACTTAAAAAGACATAATGAAAAATTAACTATGACAATTAATATATCTTTTTTTTCTTTTATTTTTTTGCAGTGTACTTCTGGTGCAGGTGCGTGCGAGGTCGGAAATCACATCAAAGAGAGAGGAGAACGTTGATCAGTCGCCGACGTAAAAGCCAAGGGAGAGGGTTCTCTTCTTGAGAGAGAGCGAGAGAGAGTGAGCGAGAGGAGGGGTGGAACGAGAGAGAGAGAGAGAGATAGAGAGAGAGTGAGAGAGGGAGAGGGAGACAAGAAGCACCAGATGATACCCACAAGCGTCACGAACTCACCGCCAGCCGCTGGCTTGGCCCAAAATGGAGCAGCTGCTGTTGTTGTTGTTGTTGGTGGTGGCAGTTCTGCTGCAGCAGCAGCAGCAGCAGCATCAACAGCAGCAGTGGCAGCACAGCAGCAGAGCAATTACAATTCAATTGTGCTGGGCTTGGCCTCCCTAATCCTCGAGGGCAGACCCATTGCCGACGATGAGTATCCGCTGCAGTTGCAGTTGCACGCACAACACCAGCTGCAGCAGCAGCAGCAACAGCTGCCTCAGCTGCAGCAGCAGCAACAGTTGGCATCAAGTTCGAGCAGCGGTCGCCATTCGCCACGCCCCTCAACATCGCGGGCAGCCATCAACATTACAACGAATCCCTATGCCTTGACCAGCCCCACCCTACGCTCTGTCTACGGACACGCCTATGCACACGCCCCCGCCCACAGCCACGGCCATGGCCAAGCATATCACTCGCAAGGCTATGGATACGATTATAGACAAGGTGGCACCAGCGGCAGTAGCAGCAGCAGCAGCACAAGTGCCACACATCAGCGTTGGACGCAGAAGCTCTGCCAGCTGCGTCAGTTGTCGCCAGCGGCACAGAGCATGACCGTTGAGCCCGAACTGGTCTCCCTGGCCATCAATGAGCTCAATACGGAACGCGGCGACTTTGAGATTGTGCGACGCGTCATGTTCAACAATCATCTAACAGCAACAGCAGCAGCAGGAGGAGGAGGAGGTGGCTCAACTGGAATTGAAAGTGGTGGCGCAACAGGATCATCGTCGGGTGCACAGCTATTGGCGGTTGCCAGCAGTTCCAATTCGAGTGCGGCCAGTTCACCAGGCGGCTCTGTGTCCAGCTCGGATAACATTCTGCACTCGCTGCAATCGCTGGCCACCACCTGTTTGCGTGGTGGTGGTGGTGGACCCAACACTGCCAGCAGCAGCGAGGCGAGACCACTCAGCCTGGACATTGCAGCAGCAGCAGCGGCAGCAACAACAGTCAGTCAGACGGCAAGTCGCCTCTCGGATTACAATTGCAGTCGGACAACGTTGGGCGCCAGAGGAGGAGTGGGAGAGGGAGTCGCAGTAGGATTAGCTATGAGTGGAGGAGGAGGAGTCTATAGTGGAGGAGTCGGAGTAGGAGTAGGTGGGGGAGCAGCCACATCAACAGCCACTGCCAGCAACAATATTGCAACTGGAACTGGAAATGGGAACGGCAATGCAACCGCAACCGCAACCAATTCCAGTTGCAACACACGGCCCAAACATGGGCCACACTGTGATCAGTTCCTCAGGAAGATGGGGCTTGCCAAGGGCGAGTCTGCCGACGCTGAGGAGCATTTCTGTGATATGTCTTACGTAAATATAACCGTGAGTAATTCAAATGGTGCCACCCCATCCCAATCCTTGTTGTCCATTGACATTATCTAATCGACATCTTTGATTGCTTTGCTAGTGTTCCCGCTGGCGTGCCCATTGCATGAAAATGGAGGCGATCTTGGCGCGCAGGGAGCCCGTCTGCATCGAGGTGTTCCTGGGCCCCGCTGGCCATAAGATTCTGCTCGAGCAATGGATCATTAGCGGCAAGGAGAAGTGAGTTAAGACAAAAATGTGATCTTAAATAGAAATTGTTGAGTGTTCAACATATAAATATGGCATGTGGCAATATAATAATAATAATAGTAATAGTATATGTTACATATATATTTGGATAGATGAATTTGTAGTCCAAAATCATATTTCTATTTGGTGAGTGTTAAAACTGAACCAAAGACATTTGGATTTTGGTTTGGAATCAGATTAAAACTGAGAAATGAAGGCTGAAAATCGTTTATAGGCTCAGATTTCTGCTAAGTGTGTACTTTAGAGTTAAGATTAAGAGAAGTCCACACAAGTAGAAGATATCGGAGAGAAGGAGCAGTTGAAACAGAATATATATATGTATATAAAGAACTACAAATCAATTTCAATATATTTTGTATTTATGTAGAATCAATTCCAATATTTTTATATAAATAATATCAATAATGAATCATGGCAACCATTTCGATTTGCAGAGTGCCACCACCGACGATGACGCTGCCATCGCTGTGCAGCGCGATACGGAGCCAGCTTTACTTTTCGCAGATCGTTGCGTGGTGCGATCTGTTGCGCAAATGCGATCCCTCTGTCTACGATAGCGGGCGTGTGATCTTTGCCAACGGCAGCAGCACCACAGCCGGCGATTTGGCTGGACACAGCGGCGGCAGCAACAGCAACAGCACGATGACCAGTTCGGCGGCGGCTGCTGCTGCTGCTACGGCTGCCAGTGCGCGACGACCACGTTTGAACATCTTCTATAGGATTAGGCCATACGATCCCACCAATTCGACGAATGGGAATCACACTGATGGAGGATTCAGCGCCAAGGCGACTGTACACAATTTTCCGCACGTGAACATTGCGGAAAACTTTAGCGTTGCGGTCTGTGTGAAGAGTCTGCCACGCTTCAATGGTGGCCTGCCGCACATTGCTCCACCAACAGGTCGACGAGCACCACCGCCACCACCACCAGCGTCAGCAACGTCGTCCAGGAAGTCGCGGCCAGCAGCAAGTACGCCCACCGGGGGTGGGGGTATGTGTGCGGCCACGCCCACCGGTCTGGGGGCACGCATTGCACTGTTGAGCACAACGCCGCCCGGAACAAGTAGTAGTAGTAGCTGTGATAAATACGACAGAAGGAGAAGGAACGAAGAGGAGCTGCAGCTGCAGCTGCAGCTGGAGCAGGACCTGGATGCCGACACAGGTGGGCCGACGGACGAGCTGGGCATCGGGCATCGAGAGCGACAGCTGCAAAAGTATCGCAAGCGAATGCAGCGTCGCGACAAGAAGCGTGAACGCAAACCCTCCGATGATCCGCTCGAGGAGCAAATGGATGCCGCCATGGACGAGGGCAACGATGAGGATGCCGCCGCCGCCAAGCAACTCCCGTCGCCGACAGCAGCCGCAGCCACAGCAGCAGCAGTGCTAATCCCAACACTGATGTCGCCACCACGTCGCATTGCGATGATATCAACGGGCACCCAAACATCGCTGAGCAGCTGCCAGAAATGTGGCTGCGAGAAGACGCTGCTCTGTCTCAATTGCACAGCGGATGAGGATGAGGATGCCGATGCGGATGCGGATGGGAATGGAGATGATACGAGTGCCTCCGAAATGGAGGAGACATCGATCAGCAGCAGCAGCTGCAGTCTGAGCAGCTCCGATCTCATTGTGGGCACACCGCGCAACAAGGCCGAGCTGCTCCTGCAGGCCATACAGCGCACGCCAAAGAATCGAAAGCCCAACCCAAAAGCAGCAGCACATAATGATCTCAAAGCTGGCGGATTGCTGCAGACGCCGCCAACACCAACGCCAAGTCAACAACACCAGCAGCAGCAACAGCAGCAGAGTCCCAAGCCGGCGGCGCCAACCAGCGGCTGTCAGATGTGCAAACGCCAGAAGACCCAACACACATTTGCCAGTGGCAAGAAGAGTGGAGGAGCAGTTGCAGCAGCTGCAGCAGTTGTAGCAGTTAAAGCAGTTGCCAGACAAGAGTCCAGTTCCACAACGAATGGCACAAATGGACACAGCAACAGCGCAGCAACTGACAATGGCGATGCTGGCGATGACAACAGCATGGATCAGGAGGTGGAACAGGTACTATCTCCATCTGTCTATATATACATTATTTTCCATAGATCCTTGCGCTAATCTCCGCTCCTTTGTTCAATCGCAGACCGCCTCGACCAAGCTGACGCCAAACATCGATCGTTGCACATTGAATGCGGACCGGGAACGTTGTCAGACGCCGCCGGATGTTGGCGCTTGTGCCATGGATGACGAGCGCATTGTGGTTCAGTTCAAGACGCCCATCAGTCATGTGCCGCTCAAGCAGCAGGATTACCAGCAGCAGCAGCATCAGTCGCATTCGCAGCAGCAGCAATCACAACATCAGCAACAACAACAAGTTGGACAACAGTTGTGCAAGGCATCAAGTCAGCTGCGTTTGAATTGCAATGGGATTATGCTGGACAGGGAGACACCGTCGCCAATGCTGTCGCCGCTGATGCGCAAAGCGTTGCCCAAGGTCAATCTGAACACGATCTTCTGCAGCAGCAGCAGCGGTGGCAGCAGTGGCAACAGTCCCTCCACCTCATCCTCGTCGGCACCGATCAGCATTGACAGCGGACTGGCGTTTAGTTTTGAGCAGCCCACGCTGAGCTATGGCCACACGCAGTCGCAGTCGCAATCGCTATTGACGCCACCGGACTGCCATCAATCGTCCAGCAATCTGCATGTGCAGAAATCGTATTCGGCACCGACGCTGCCCAATGCATTGTCGGTGTCGCCACGCTTTGCCAAACAGGCGGCATTCTACAAGCGTCGCTCGCGTCATCTCAGCGATCGTTCGGATCGCAGCTCCCTCGGCTCCGATGAGCAGCTCTCCGACGAGGATCTCGAGTCGGGCATGTGCAGTCCGGCGGGATCGCCGCTCAAAACGCGTGCGCGTCTCGCCACACAATTTGGCGGCCGACCCCTGCTCGGCAATCTGGAGGAGTCGCTGCTGCAGAAGCGTCTGCTGCCCAAAATTGAAGTCGCCGGCTTCCGTCTGCAACTGGGCGCCTCTGGCGTCTTTTGTCCCAAACAACGCACCATTTCGGCTTCCTCCTATTTCTATGAGCTGCACGGCGAGACACTGAGCACACCCTACCTGGTAAGTGTTGGCCACATCTGCGCTGAAATCGATTGCCACTGCTAACGTTTGCCATTTCCGATTGCAGTGCGAGATTCGTTTGCCACGCAAGGGTTACTCTGTGCCGCTGATGGGCACGGTGCAGGCGACGCTCCTCAATCCGATGGGGACGGTGGTGCGCATGTTTGTCATTCCCTACGATATGCGCGACATGCCCAATCTGCATCGCACCTTCATCCGGCAGCGCATCCTTGCCGACGAGCTGCCCTGCAACAGTGTCATCATTATGCAGCCGCAGCAGCAGCAGCCGGTGCGGGAGCGGGAACGTGAGCCGGGCAGTCCCACAGCGATGAGCACCACCAGCAAGTTGGGCCACTTTATCAGTGCCGAGCAAATGAAGCGACTGCGCTACTCCATACACCTGAGGTCAGTTCAATGGGGAGCCTCAAATGTACATCAAGAGAGAACCACCGTAAAAGGATGTCCTATTAAGAATTCCAACTGGAATGAAATTCAATTCTATATATATATATGTCTATAACTATGTCAGCTATATGATAAGTAGTCCGATGTGTATCAATAATAACTTTTGTAACTGGTTACTTTGGTCAGAATAACAGATAAAATTTCCATATCAGAACTTATTTAGAAATTCAAGCGCTAGTTCGTATTCTGGCTATATGATATAGTAGACCGATGTGATTCTGATATATGTCAACTATTCAACTATTGCTGCAGACTGAGAATATATATCTTTGTATATAAAAGAGCAAAGCTAATCTAAACTCAATCTTGCAGTTACTGGTTAATTTCGGAATTTTAGAATTGATACAAAAAAAAACTGACAAAATGATGTTGTGGCATCATTAATCTTATGCAGAGCGTATTCCAACAACATCATTTTGTATATAACCAGATAATATAGCTGTCATATATACGATTTATCAGTTTGGTTTATAGTTTAATCCATTTCTGAGCAGGCAATTGCAGTGATATTAAACCAACTAATGCTAGATGAGAACTGCTTAAGTTGATATATCTGCAGTTTTATTTATCTGCAGTAATATTTATTATATATATAGCAAACAGATATAGCAACTGTTAACTGAATAGTTCCACTTTTTGAATATATATCGCAGCACAAAGCTGAAATTCGCTTGACATAGTTATGGCAATTATTTGCCCACTTTTAAATGATGCACAATCGAATTGAAATTGAATTTAAATGTAATTTTTTTGTTTTTCAGATTCCAGACATCTCGATCGGGTCGGCTGTCGCTGCATACGGATATACGGCTGTTGATCTCGAGGCGGACGGACTGCGATACGGCGGCGGCGCATGCCAAGGGATTGGTGGAGGCGCCAAATGAGCTGGTGACGGATACGCTGATGCCAACGGAGCCGCGCTACAGTGCGCGACAGGAGAGTCCCGGCAAGATTTAGTAGCTGCTAAACGCCATGGGCGTGGCATGTGGCAGCAGCAGTAGCAACAGCAACAGCAGTGGCAGCAACAGCAGCATCAGCAGCAGTGCCAGTGGCAGTGGCAGTTTTAGCTGCTGTTGCTGTGGCTTCAGCAACGGTGATGGTGGCAACTTTGTGCGACGCATGTGGAAACAGTTGCATGCGCGCTGGCAACTCTGGCAGCAGTGCCACAAATATCAACTCTTGTAATTTGGACAAAATGTGGCAATGTTAACAATCGGGAAGCGAGGCAAATTTCCAACAACAACAACAACAAACAAGACAACTGCTTTATTAGTTATTGTAACTCTAAAATCGAAAATCTATCTCTCGTCTGTTATGACTAGTACTATCCCGCCCCCGCCCCTCTCTCCCCTATTCGGTTTAAGCCCTCATTTTTAAGCCAACTAGTTTGAATTTGAATTGTTTTGTTTTAATGCTACACAAACAAAAAAGAAAAAAAAGAAGAAAGAAAAAAGAGAACGAAGTTTTGAAGAACAAACCAATCTAAAGATTAACAACTCTCTCACTCACTCAGTCTATCTGCTCCCTCTCTCTAATTTCCTATCTCTATCTTTGTGAAGGGGGCCAACAAACAAGAAAACAAACAAATATCTCAATTTACACGGGTCTCACAGTAAACAAACCCGTTGTTTTGGGTAGGAGCAGCAGCAGCAGCTAGCAATACTTATGAAATAGTTGCAACAAATTATATAAATATGCAATACGAGTTTAGAATTTGAGTGCGAGTGCGAATGTGAGTGCGAGTGAGTGTTTTGTGAATGCTAATCAAATTTCAACGAGTGCAATGAGAGCCCAATTCTGTTCTGAATTAAGTTGAAGATTACTTTTATAGTTCTGATTCAATAAGCAATTTTTGAAACTGTTCACATATAAATAATGCATGGAAGAATCCTGAAACGTTTCTAAAAATTCAATTATTTTATTATTTTTGTTTATTTTTTAATCTTTTTTCTATAGATTAAATTTGTTTCATGATTGTTTGATTGAATTTGAATTATTTCACTACAAAAAAAAACACTCTTTTATATAAAGCTGAATTGAATTTGAAATATTATTTGGGCGCTCAATGAAAATGCTTTCAATTGAAAATGATTTTTGGAGAACAGCTCAAAAGAGTATATCAAAGTATCTAAATACATATATATATTTATGTAAAAATGCAAACAAATTTAGCTGATAATATTTGAGAAAGGAATGCGAGTTAAGACAAAAAGTGCAGAGAGAATGGGGTGTATTGAAAAGTGTGTGTGTGATTAGAAGTGTGTGTCTCTGTGTGTGTGTGTGTGTGCCTGTGTGTGTGTGTGTTTTGGCCAGCTCATATCGATCGTTGTTGTTAGCGTTAGTAGTGTGTGATCTAAAAGTGTAATTTTTGTCCAATTGACAATTGGCAATTCTCTATGAATTTGCCAGTTGTCAAATTATTAATTTGGTTTTTTCTTTTTTCTTTTGTGCATTGAGTGTTTTTTAAAGCGTGCCTGTGATACGATATGAGCTGCTTTGACGATGATGTTGAGGATCAGAATGATTATTTGTAGTAGAACTTTAGTTAAATACAATTCAACAATTTTGTTCTGTTTTTTTCTGTAACAACAACAACAAATGCAATTTACACAATAATTAGTTTTGTTTGCAATAAGTGCTCGAACATGATTGCAATACACACATTAAATATTTATTCTTTTTCTTTCTTTTTGTTTTGTCGGTTTGAATTCAAGTGGAAATTATTGAACATCATTTTTTGTTCAAGTTGAAACAGTTTTCAAGCACCCACAAATGTACTTCAATAAATAAATGCTAAAGATACATAAATATATATATGATGATATATATATCTCTATATCTATATATGAATGTAGAGTGTATGCCCCTCAGTGTGTACATAATTATGTCTGTGTTAAATTCTAATAACTAAAACTCTTATTTCCATTGATACCTGACTATAACTGTACTTGTATAACTCGACTACCGCTATTAACAAATTTTTCAAATCTAGCTGGTATACAAAATAATGTATAAAAACAACAACAACAACAAAATAAGTTCCACACACCTAACAAAAGTGAAACTAACTAATGAAAACCGAAACTGCAAAGAACAAAACATTAATAATAATAATAATAATAAAAATTTAAAAACAAAGAGATCACACACTAAACAACAAAAAAAGAATAAGAAAAACAAAAACAATCTTTCTTTATTTGTTTAACTGTTTTTAAGTAGAGAGCTTAATGTGCCCAGTCAATAGCAATTATATAACACCAATATACAAAATGATTCAAAATAAAGGGTTTTTGTGTTTTTAATCCAAAAATTAAACAAAAATTGTTTTTATTTTACATGTGTAGAATAAGTTATAAATAATGCAAACAAAAAAATAATATAAATTGTGGACAGGACTCTTAATACTGTTAATCAAACAGAAGCTTGTTGTTCTTTGTACTAGTCGCGTTAATACAACCAGCAGAAATCGGCAATGAATACTGGTTTTATTTAATAAAACGTGCAATAAGAAAATTCTTTTGAATCCAAAAATTGCGCGCTGCTCATAACATTTTGAGTAAATGTTAAAGTTCTTAGAGTGACCATACAGCGATCTGTCAGCTGATTGTGTTAATAGTAATTAACAGCAGAAAGTCCGCTTTTCCGCTTTGAATAGGAAATATACTTTTATGCAACACTTTTTAGATTTCTCATATGCAGAAGAGATCTGCAATTATTGTTGCTTATATTTATAGTAAAGCCTGTAGTAAGTGATTTCTTAGACACATAGTTTGAATTGAAATGATTGCGCGCTGTTAATAACATTTTTGAGTCAATGTTAAAGTTATTGGAGTGCCCACACGGCCAACAGCTGATTATGTTAATAGCAGTTGGCAGCAGAGAGTCGAAGAAAACACTGTTACCTAATTCACGATGCGCTACAATTTAATTTCGCGTGCTGTCCGCCTACTAAATCAGAGTCACAACCAACGCGGAAACTATCTATTAAAACGTGTAGCGAGCAGCAGTAGCAGCAGCAGCAGTGGCAGCCTCAATCAACGCGATGAGCAACCACAGGCAACGGAGGCAACAACAGAGGCGTCGCAGTCGGAGTTGCCGGCACGTGAACCACTCGTGAAGAACTTCTTTGTGGGCATTACGGACAAGGAGCTGCTCGGATATCCGGAGGTGATCGCACGCGAGGAGATGTCACAGTTGAAGACTGCACTGTTGCCACTCAACAATTACTTTGCCGAACAGCAATCGCAGTCGCAGTCCCAATTGGAGAGCCTCACTCAGCTGGGACTCTACGGATTGAATGTGCCGTTGGAATACGATGGCAAAGGCTACAATTGGAGCGCCAGCCTCATGGCCAGTGAGTCCGAGGCGGGACACACAAGCCTGGCACTTGGCCTACAATCGCATCGGATTGTTGTCGATATGCTGCGAGAATTGGGCAGCGAGGAGCAGAAGCAACGCTACTTGCCATCGTTGGCCACGGGTCAAGTCATTGCAACGGATGCGATCTTTGAGTATACGCCACCAGAGGATGATTTCTTTGGCACCCAGGCCATCTATGATACCGTCACAGGCAGCTGGACCCTCAGCGGGGAGAAGGCCTTCGTGGTCACGGCTCCGGTAGGCACACGCCAGCTGTTCCTCGTGCTCGCCCAGACGCAGCAACTGAATGTGCCCGGCAACATTGGCATGGGCTCCACCTTCTTCCTGGTTGACTCACAGCAGCAGGGCGTCAAGTTGGGTGAGCTGCATGCCACATTTGGTTGCCGGGAGGCGCCGATGCGTCGTCTGCACTTTGACAAGGTGCAGCTGCGACAGGATCAGATCCTTGGCTCAGCCCACGAGGGCAATCGGCATGCGGAGCATTTGGTGCGCTCCTCCCGCCTGAGAACCACCCAATCAGGCATCGCTCTGGCCAAGAGGCTGCTCCAACAGCTGACCGCATTCAGTGTGGATACCACACAATGTGGCGTCCAGATCAAGTGAGTGCCTCAAATTGCTATTATTGCTATTAATTGTTAAGATAAGAAACGTTTCAAAATACTCAACTAATCTTTAATCCTTATTTGATCATTTAGTGAAAATCCTGCTTCAAATACACTCAGAGAAATGCGCTTATTAAATTCAATTAGAGTCGGGTTAAAGTTGTTGAATTATCAATTACAAAAGAGTCTTGAACATTTTCTTTTAAGTTTAAATAATTCTTTATTTTATTCACTTTTTAAGGCAACCTTTTAAAATCTACTTAAATTCAAACTGAAATTCTTGAATTGTAAACTTTAGTATTATAAATTATAGTCAATTATTTCAACTATTAGAATTTAAAATTTAAATGAAATTATATTCAATTATTACAAGTTTTATTACAATTTAAAATTGAATTTAGATTAAATTTAAATAGTATAAAAAAGAAATTTAAAAATATATATTTTTTTAATGTTAAATGCTGAATTCTTGCAGAGATTTGGAGTTGACCCGTGCGAACCTGTCGCAGGCGATGTGCTCGATCTATGCGATGGAGAGCATGCTGTATCTGAGCGCTGGGCTGTTGGACGAGTTCCTCGGCCAGGATGTGACGCTGGAGAGTGCGATCACCAAATACTACACGCTGCAGCAGTTGCACGCGATCGCCACACAGAGCCTGGGTCTGCTGGGACCGCGTAGCCTGCACCAGGGCGAGCCGGCGGAGATGGCGCTGCGCGACACCGCCCAGCTGTGCACCCAAGGTGAATCGCTGAGCACGCTGAGCATGTTCATTGCACTGACGGGCCTGCAACATGCCGGGGTGAGTGCCACTTGAGATGCCATAAAATTAATAATCAAGTAATAAATACGCGTTGCAGCAAAGGATGAATGAGGGCGTGAGGAAATCACGTAATCCGCTCTTCCATCCGGGCCACATCTTTGGCAAATTCATGGGCCGTTCGAGCCTGGAGAGCCCCAAGACGGGCATGCTGCTGGCGGAGAATGTGCATCCCACACTGGAGCCAGCTGCCCAGTGCATCGAGCATTCGATTGCCCGTCTCCACATGGCCGTGGATTTGATGTTCACGCGGCATGGCAACGCCGTTGTCGAGCGTCAAATTGAGTTGCAACGTGTGGCGAATATTGCGAGCATCATTTATGCGATGTGGGCGAGTGCGGCACGTGCATCGCGCTCGTATTGCATTGGCTTGCCACTGGCGGATCACGAGTTGTTGACTGCCTCAGCGATCTGCACACAGGGACGCGACGATGTGCTCAGACTCGCCACGGATGTGTTCAATGGCAACTATGTGAATAATGACAACAATCTGTTGCGCCTCTCCACGCAGGTGGCAAAGAGTAAAGGTTACTTTGCGGTGCATCCATTAACCTTTAACTTTTAAGTCTTAAACAGATTCTTATCACTGAAAACTTCAAAATCGACATAATATTATATTAAAAAAAAAAACACCAAAAACAATCGTATTTTTTTTTCAGCGTATAAATATTCTAGTCGGGAGTGCTCATTAAATGGATATTTTACTACAGGGTATTCATATTTAAATATTTGGTTTAGTCACAGTGTAAACCCTTCACAATAATTAAAGATTTGTTTATTTTAAAGACTTAATTAGTATTCAAACATCAGAGATAATAAAAAAAAAAGAACAACAAAAAACTCCCACACCATTTCCACTCACGCAGCAGCAGCATGTTGAAATAACGCTCAGTTGGCAAACACACTCAAGAGTTTTTTTTTTAGTCGAGTTACGCTCAAACTGAGCTTAGTCAGCTCTCTCTTGAGCATAAGCGCACGCTGCGCTGCCGACGTCGAAGGTGCGACGCTTTCAATTCCACTTCGTCTCATGGCATTTGGACTCATTTTCGTTTCGGTTGTCGTGCGGTTCACGCGCGTATTTAGCCCAGCGTGAGTGAAAAGTGTGTGCAAAGTGGCATTTGTTGCAATTGTAAGCATTTTCAAATACAAACTATGTATGCATGTGTGTGTGTCTGTGTGTGTTTAGTGAAAACTTGCATATTTAGCATTGTGGGCGGCTGCACTTTGTGACAGTTGTGTGGCTGAGAATACAAATTTTTGAAAAAGTCAAGAAGCAAAAAGCAAAGAAGAAAAACGCCCACGGCGAAAATTATTGCCCCGTATCGGTGTGTTTGTGTGCGGGTATATATTTGTGTGTGTGTGCGATACAAGCAGAATAAGTGAATTGAGCGTATAAAATTGCTTGCAAAAAATATAAAAAAGAAAAGGGAAAAGCGATGAAAATCAATTGGAAATTGCAGGCAGGCCAAAAGCTACGCAATCGCCAAATTTTATGTGTGTGAGAAGCAAAACGCGACACGAATGTGCGCAGCAAAAAAAGACCAGCAGTAAGCAACAGCAGCAGCAGTCGTCGTTGGCGTCGCAGCAGCAGCAGCGGCGTTTTACTTGACACAGGTAAGCATTTAGATGAAAACTGGCTACACGGCCGCATTGCTCGTCAAATTTTACCCCAAAATGTGGGGTGTTACGCACAATTTCTATTCGAATTCACATTTTTTTTTACCGGTTTGCTATTTTCACATACCCTTCATGTGGTTAGAAAGGGGTGGGGAATGTTTGATGAGATGAGAGTTGAAAGCACACAACAATAATGAAACAAAACTCATGGCAGGGTGGAACGAGATGCAATTGAAACGCTTTTAAAGTTGATTTTGGAATCTAAGAAGTGAGCTCAGTGCCAATTCGAACTAAACACACACGCACACAACACACATCAAACGCTGCAAACAATACAGTACAAAAAATGTACGAAATACAATATCAAAGAAAAAAGAAGAACAGCATCAACCAGCAAGCGGCAGCAAGCAAAAAACAAAAAGAAAAAAGTTCTGCCTGCCATTTCATTTCGTTTCGTTCCGCAGGGTATGTAATTTTTTTTTGTTGCTTTTTTTTTGGTGTCGGACTCAGGGACAGTGAACGCCATGAGCAGTGGCACACGACTCACACACACACATACATGCATACATGTGCACTCGTTGATTGTCATAGAGAAAGAGTGAGAGAGGGAAGGAGGGAGGGCAGCAAATAACAAGGAACAGAAGACAAGCCGAAAGAGTCACCGGCCAAACGATTCCACTGGATTGTATTTTTCTCGGCCCGTAGCTATGTATATATGTATGTGTGTGTGTATATATGTATGTATGTGTAGCACAATCCATCAACACAGACGAGCGGCGGCTGCGACTGCGGCAGCGAAGCGTCATTGACTCTGCTTGCTTTTATTTGAGATTTGCTCACGAATTGCTGTTGTTATTCATGTTGAGTGTGTGTGTGTATAAATTGGCAGTGTGGGTGTGTGTGTGTGTGGTAGTTTGGTGTTATGTGCTAGCTAGTATTCGGCCTATGCCGGACAGACAGCAGCAGCAGCATCGCCGCCGCCAAGTGGATTGAATTTGGATTTTATTTTATTTGCGCTTTGTTTGCCATCTTTTTTTTTTGTTGTTCGTTTCTTTTACGGTCCAATCTCGCAGTTCCCCCACACTGTGTCTTGCTTGCTCGCTCTCTCTCTCGTTATCTGTCTCTCTCTGGCTGGAGAAGTGAGTACGCTTCACTGTTTGCTAGTTATTGTTGGACATTTTAGTCATTTACCTTTGACTAAGCTTTTTCAACTCGAATGTTATTAATCAATTAGCTTTTACTTGTGCGTATGTGTGCCTGTTTATGAATTGGTGTGTGTGTGTGAAAAGCAAATGGCAATTACAGAAATAGTGGGAGCTTAATTTGTGTTTATGTCTTAAGCTTTTCGATTGTACTTGAGCATTAGTTAGTTGGTGCAATTGTATATGTAAATATATTGTATATTATTATCTTGTCAAGTTAACGGTTCGCTGCTTGCGCTAATTAGCCGCAATTGCAGCCTATGCTAATTAATAATAGTTTATAATGTGTGTTTGTTTTATTTTTTATTAGTATTTTGTGTTAAGTTGGTTTCACTTGGCTGGAAATGTTTGCATTGGGGTTGTCTTAACACACACACTCGCACGCACACACACAAATCGATTTCGCAACCCTCTTTTGCTGATAAACTTGACATAAATCATTTTAATGGCGCACATAACACACACACACACATATTTATATATATATACATATATATATATATATATATATATATATATATATATATATATATGCCCATTTGTTGTACATTTGAAATATTATCCAAACGCATAAAATCGATTTCTAATCGTGTAAATAAATGGCGACAAATGCTGCGCCCCCAAAACGGCAGGTGGCGACACAGGCAGAGGCAAACGCCACCAGATCTATATATGTATGCATGTGTGTGTGTGTGAGTGAGACAGCTTATATGCGATGCGAGTGTGTGGTTGGCATTTGTTTCACGGCGTGTCTGGTTTGGCCAGGCCCGTTGCCAATGTTGCACCTTGGGGCGCTCCAAAAAGTCGTGAGATGCGCGGCGGGTACGAAATGGGAACGGGAATATTTGCGACGGGCATCGGGTGGTGACCGAAATCGAAACGACGAATGTGCCAAGCTAAAGCAAAACCCAAAAGCCAAAGCAGAGCAAAGTGAAGCGCAGCGAACAGAAAACAGCAATAGCGACTGAGACTGCGACAGCAACAGCAACAACGACGACGGCGACGCGTCGTTTAATGGAAGATAAGCGTAAGCGAAGAGTTCGGCATACAACAACAACAACAACACTAAATGCCGAATGCAGACGGTAACAGCGACAACAACAAGAACAAGAGTTAACAGTAGCAGATCGAGAGGCTATAAAATCCAAACCGAACACTTTTGTCGCTGTTGCTGTTGTTGGAACAATGAGAATGAGAATGAGAATCGAAACTAGCGCTGACTGATGTCAGTTGGGGCTGCCCACTAATTGGATATGTTGGGTTTGAGTACGAATTGAGAAGTAGGAGCAAGAGCAAAAAGCAAGAGTTGGGTGTGGTGGAGGTGGAGGTGAAGGTGTATTGTAATGGCATCAGGCACACACGTTTTATTTGTTTTGGGCGCACTCACACACACACACAGGCAAAGGCACATTTGAATTGCAAGCGAAAAGTGCAAAAAATCACACGCTAAATGTGCGACAGAAAGAGACAGCAGCAAAAGAGGGACACAAATATAGAGGCAGGCAGGTGGACGGGCGGACGGACAGATGGATAGATAGAATCGATGGATAACAGAAAATTGAATTTCTTGCTGGCTGTTGTTGTATTTATTGTTGTTGGCAATGCTTTGAAAATATTGGTTGTAATTGAATTTATGCCGTGCAAATGCGAAAGATGAGTGCGAATTGGTGCAAGTCCCCAAATTATAAGCCCGCCTTCCACCCACTCTGCCTATCTATATATATATATATATATATATATGTGTGTATGGCACAAATTGTTTCGTTGGGTGCTCATTTGTAACGTGTCCGACGACCGCCACCTCCGCCGGCGTCACTTTTAACGGTAAACAATATTTCATTTGATTTTGAACATTTCGTTTTTAGGTTTCTGCAGCAGAAATGTTGCTGTTGATTTCTTTTCTGTCTTGTTTTTGTTGTTGTTGTTGTGTGTGTTTTGTTGTGGCTTACAAAAACATTTTTAATTAGCTTGATTTAATTGGATTTCATTTGTTTCGTTGTCTGCCTCTCGCTCACTCTCTGTCTCCGTCTCTCTCTCACTTCCTTTCTTTTTTTCTTCTGTGTGTTGGAATTTCATAGATATGTGTAATATTTTTGAAATATTTATGAACTTGAGTAAAACATTTTGCAGCAATTTCATATTGAGATGTGCTGACTTTTTTAGCCCTGTTCCCACTCGTTGCTGCTGCTACTGCTGCTGCCCACTTTTTGGGCAAAGAAAAAGACGACAAAAGCAAACCAAAACTGTTCTCGTTATTCCCTTGGCTATTGTTCTTGTTCTTGTTGTTGTTGTAGTTGTTGTTTCTGGTCGGATGACGCGTTTGCGGCTTGTTGTTGAAATTGGTGTTCCTATTGCAGCTGCTGCTGTTGTTGGTTGGACACGCGATTGCCTGACTCTGGCACCAGGCGTGCGAGTGAGCGAAAATGGAAAAATGAAAGGAGAGCGAGGAGAGCAGCGAAGAGGGTTGGCTCGGCGAGGTGAGGCGAGGAGAGCAACCCCAAAGCCTTAACACTATATGTACTTCATTATATGGGCATGACAAATGTGCTAGTGTAAACCGCTGCCTGTGCGTGTGTGAGTGTGTGTGAGTGTGAGGGTGGGTGTGTGTAAGCTTGTTACACAGTGAAAAAAAATGCATGTAATCAAGAAATGTGTTAATTATATTAAACACAATTCACAACTTGTCATTATGCGCTTGCAAATGGCTTTATAATTGGTCGCGTTGAAGCAGACATCTTTGAGTGCATTAATTATATATATAAATTTATATATATATATATATTCTTGAGCAGCTTTCATAGCTAGAATCTATTGCTTATTCATTTATA